AGTCCTTATGAGTCAAAATCAACTCCATGGCAGCGTATGGGTCTACTTTACCAAGCATGATGTACTTCTCCAGAGACTAGCCCTCCTGATAACATGCCCAAAGTACATGAGACAAAGTCTTACCATCTTCACTTCTAATGGCCGTACTTTCTGCTAAGAGAGATGTGTTTGTTCTTTTAGCAGTCTATGCCACATTCAAGCATTCTTTACCAGCACTATTATTCAAATCCATCAATTTTTCTTGAATCCTCCTTATTCATTCTCTGGCTTTCACAGCACATGAGGCTATTGAAAATATCATGGCTTGGATTAGAGTATCATTTCTAGAAATTGCTTAACCAACTGAAAAACAGACTGGTTCATATCAAGCTATCAGTCTTCATTGATTCCATCAGAAAAGTTCGCTTTCAGTTAGTTTTGATCCTATCAGTTTCCAATGAATTTATCCATAAACTAGGAGCATTCTTGGCACTTATTCTTCTTCAGAATCTCAATATGTTGAGTACTTCTTCTAATGTAAATATTTCTAGTAATTCTGTGAAACGTTGCATTTCATAACAATCCATGAGCTAGGCTGGTTGAAGCCACTCAAATATTACTTAGACCTTTAACAGAATAGTTGAATGATGGTTAACAACTCGGGTGTCAGAAAAAATAGCTCAGAATGAATATGTCTTGTGTCTAGGGTAGAACAAATGTCAGGGCCAATGAAGGGTGTCACATGATGAGAGGAAGTTGAATGGAAGGGTTGGGCAACAGGTGCTTGGTGGGAGACAGGAGGAAAGTACTGGGAAGGACCGAAGACAATGACACTGTACAGAGTCAGAGAGAAAGCCCCGGGCTCCTCACTCCCAGATCAATCCCTATTGACAAAGTCGCTTTGAAACTGCATCAGAGGAGACACTGACACTTGGAGTATCTTTCTGTAAAAACAAATCACTCTTCACAGTCCAAGGAAGCAAAAGGAATCGATTTGAATGCACATAAACAGATACCACTGTTTCTCAAATCCCTGGGCAGACACAACGAAAGCTAAAAAACGAAAGATCCAGGCACAGGAATGAAGATTTCTATTTTAAGCAACCTCTATTTTAAGGATGCCATGATTGAGCGAGTTCTCCTCTCTACTTATTTAACACCAATTGTAACAATGTCTGCAGGAATTCGAGTCTATCCGCCACTTTAAAGATGAATCGAATGTGAGTCTCCGAGGGCACACACAGGAAGTGAAGCATTGGGAGGAGGTCACAGCTCATCTGCATCGATCCCCCTTGACATTGACTGAGTCAGTTACTGACATCATGCTCCTCTCAGTAGTAGACGACTTCTGGGACCTACTGCATCTCTACAGTAAGACATAGCATGTAGGGGGAAAATGCATTGCAATATTTGGCTGTAGTACTGCTATAAAAACAAAAGGCAAATTCATTGCCATCGACAGTCAATTATGACTCATAGTAACCATATAGGATAAAGTAGAACTGCCCGTGTGGGTTTCCAAGAATATAACTCTTTATGGAATTAGAATGCCTCATTTTCATGCCACAAAGTAGCCGGTGGGTTCTGGCCTTGCAGTTTGCAGCCTAACATGGAACCCACTACGTCACCACCATGTGCATATTTGCAAGAGGCATTCGGATGGTATAATCAGAGAGGGTCGATAGGAGATGGAATCCACTCAGTGGCACTGGGTTTGGGGTTTAGAGTCTCACAAAGTCACACAATACTTACCACCATAAGGAAGGCATGGTCTGAGCTCATAAAATATAAAGTTAATTTTAAATGTATCATACACTGTAGTTACATAACTAAAAAATATGTTAATATTACTAATGCTACCTATGAAAAGAAAAGAATTCTTTACACTAATTTCCAATGAGGAAAGATTCTTCAATTAGTTCATCTCCTAAAATAATATAATTCAAGTATTAGAAAAAGTAAGAAAATCAATTCATGTAATAAAAGAAAACTCATTGCAAACAAACAATGCTCACTATACAAGCTTAAACCAGATCCTATTATTTTTAGATTCTTAATTTGCATCATTCAATTTTTCTCCATCCATTTCACTTCCCCAATTTTTCTCCTATCATTATCTACATGTAAGTAGCAATTTGGCCAGAACTTCTATTTTCAGTGAGAAATCTATCTTTAAAATAACAAAAAAGAAAACTATTGAGGAAAACAGATACAAATCTGAAATATTTACATTTTTAATTGCTATCATTCTAAAGCAAATATATATTTCTCTATTTATCTAAATGATAATTTCAGCTCATATCTGCCTAGCTGTGAATCTGTTTCTGGCTTAAAACTATTGATATTAAATACAAATATGAGAAAATAAATCTAAAAATCTGATAGTGTTCATCTTAATTTTTCTTACAACTTTAAGGCAATGTCTCTAAAATACTTCATTTTTCAATGTCAAAAATATTAACACTGCATGAATCAAAAGCATACAAAACAATGTGGACAAAGCGTATATAACCCCCCATTCCAGGGCCATTGGGCCCATCCTGACTCATATTGACTCTGCAGAACAGAGGAGAACTGCATGGGAGGGTTAATAAAGCTGT